GCTATTTTTTGGTTGCAGCCGTCATTGTTGTTTGGCGGGTCCGGGCTGGGGATTCGAACCCACCACCTTAGGTGTACGTGGCTGGCGCCTTAGCCGGCTGAGCTATAGGCGCCGAGCCAGATACAAAGATTTTTGAGGGAGCTACTGGGGACATTATGGGCTGTGCCGCAGGGGTGGGTCTGATGATCCCAGGAGGAGAAGGGAAAAGCAACAGATGAAGGCCCTGGTTAGCAAAACAGCAAAACTCCCTGCTCCTGCCTTTGTCGATAAAGGTCCCAAGATACTAGCTGTGGGCTGAGGGGTACTCAAATAGGTAGGCCCTGAAGAAGACACTGGCGTGGAGACAGAGGTTGGGTCAGATAAATGCTTTGGGGAAGCTGTACATCTTTGAGGCTTATCCTTGCCTGCTCTCATGGTTCTGTGAGCTAGAGGGGTCCCTAACTTTCAGATGATCTGGGAAGGGTGAATTGCAAATCAAAGGTTCTCATTGCACGAAGTAGAGGGGTAGAAGAGTATAATCCTCAGAGGGATTTCCCAGGAGTCCAAAGCCCCAGGTGTTCCTCATGCCATGACTGTCTTTTCCTAGCTACAAAAGGTCAACTGAGGCAGCCCCAGGGGAAGGGGTATCCTGTGGGAAAATACCAGAGGGGAGAAGGGAAGGTGGGGTGGGCTCCCCACAGACCTCATAGACAGCCAGGTCGATGCCCGCATAGGGAATGATGCCTAGTACATTGGGTAGGTAGCCGCGGTAGAAGGCACGTGGCCCTTCTCGCTCCAGGATCCGTCTGGCGCAGTCCAGCAGTCCCTTGTACTGGCCTGTCCGGCGCAGGGTCAGCCGTGTCTTCAGCACCTGGAGAGGACCTGGTTATCCCCAGAAAATCTGCCCCCGAAATCACTACATCCAGGAATGAAGTCACCTAGAAATGGCTACTCCTGGAAGCAGATGCCTTGAGAATAACTGAATTAACAAAAACAACAAAAACTTACCTAGAATTTTATGCTAATTCCAAATCTCTATACCTAGTGGCATGTGGCATACAATACTAACTGTGACCCATTATCTTGTTGCCTTTTTCCTTAATAACAGAAACTGTAACTTTCAGCAATCACACCGCCACTAGAAATAAAGACTGCATTTCCTAGATTACTTAAGTGTGTGGCTTTGTCACTAAGTCCTAGACTGTGAAGCAGGAGAAGAAAGAGGTATGTGTGAGGTTCAGAAAGCATCCTTAGAGGCAGGGAGGTATTTCCCCCCTTGTTGCTTCTTCCTGCTTGGCTAGAATGTGGGATGTGATGAGCAGAGCACAAGCAGTTTTGTTGATCCATGAGGTGTTAGAACAAGAAGATAAACAGAAGGAAGCCCACGAAACTACCACTCCACGCCTGAACTGCTCATCTCTAGGCTTCATTTATATGATTCAAATTTTCTGTCACTTTCAGAATCCTAATGATACACTGTATAACCTGAAACCTGAAATAATTTCTCTAAAAACAGCTAGACACCTAGAAATGATACCCTTGGCAACAAGCATCCTATCCTCAGAAGTGACATACTCATAAACAGCTGGCTCCCATAATGACCATGCCAACAGTGACAACTAACACTGCTGTCCTGCTCTAATGAGCTCCAGTTTGAACCAGAGAGAGGGTATGGTACAATCCCAGTGCATATTATGAAATGCAGCATGAAATGGCCATTGCGGGCTCCCCACCCTGCAGTGGGCCCTCTGCCAGGGTCCCTTAGTCTTACCTCCATTGGGTAAATGATGGTTTGGGCTGTGGCACCAGCCAGGGAGCCAGCCACAAAGCGTTCCTGCACATGCAGTGTCTCCTGATGCCCCAGGATAGCCCGCTTGATCTGAGGGTAGGAGACACAGGGATGGATAGGACAATAGGGATTGAGCCTTCCTTGTACTCCACTCTTCTGGCTTCCACAGAACTGGACTGTGTTGAACCCGTAAGTCTTCTTCGTATTTAGCCCAGGCTATCCCTGGCCAACCACATGCCTCTGTATCTGCTCTCACCTGTTCATAGGCCATGAACTTGATAGCTGACTCAGGTGCTATCTTGAGTACATTAATACCATTACCACGCCATAGGGAGCGAATACCCCCTTCTTGGATCATGCTCTGAAGGCCCCCCAGGACATTCAGCCGGTTGGTCTTGGAAGCATGAACCTGAATGGGGAGATAAGGTGACTTAGAGGTCCCCTCCAGGGTCCCAGGACTGGAAGAGGGGTGTGTCTCTCCAGGGCCCCTCACCTGCATGAAGACCTTCAGGCGGTCCAGAGGGGCTGTGCCTGTCCGCGATACAGCTCCTGCCACTGCACCAGCCACCAGTTGCCTCCACCACATGCCTGTCAGTTTCTCCTGCTTTGAGAATTCATCTGGCACAGTCAGGCATTCACCAATATCCAGAACCTGAGGGTACAGGAGGTAGGAATGTCATGCCAGGCGGGAACAAGGAGATGTGACTCAGTCCTAAATGAGAGTCTCCTCCATGAACTTCAGGACCCCCAGAGGGTCTGCCAATGACTCTTGCTTGGAGAGCCCAGGAGACCCCTCTTGTACCCTATCAGATTCCTCTTGGATCCAATCTAGCAGTCTCCCTGTAATGTTCTCACATCCTTCTTGGAGACCTGTAACAAATCCCACCAAAGGAACCACCAAATCCCACCAAATTATCCATTAAATCCCACCAAATGATCCACCAAATCCTGCCAAGGACCCACCAAATCCTACCAAGGATCCATCAAATCCCACCAAAGGATCCAACTCAGGTAACTGCCACTTAAAGATCTCTCCGGAGCTAATCAGCTTCTACTGAAGGATCCTAGTCAAGGGTCTTCTATGTAAGAATTCCAGAAGATTCCTTCAGGGCCACATATAATCTCATAGATGGATCCTCTCCAGATGCCATCACTCCTATCAGACACATCACTTGTGGATCCCACTTGGGAACTAGAGCAACCCCTTCCCCCAGGTCCAGTGGATCCCGTGGGATCCTCCAAAGACAGTAGCTTTCCAACTTTTCTGTTCAGCAGCAGGATCTTTTATTTAGGCAGAGAGAACCCACCAGAAGGGGTGCAGTGTGAGTTGAGCTGGGAGGCCTGGTGCCCCATCTGGTGAACTCTTTCTTCTCTGCATCCCCAGCCCCTACAAGCTGCCCCCAGAGGCCCCAAAGTAAGTCCGAAGGGCTGGGCTCCAATCAAATAGCAGAGATGTCTTGAATTCCCCTGACCCTAAGTGGAGGAAGAAAAGGTCTTGTCCCCTGGCTGCTGACAGTTCTTTCTTCTTTTATTAGAGTTTTGGCTCAGCCCTTCCAAGCCCCAGGAAGACAGGAGCAAAGCCTCTCCTCCCAGTTAAGAGGGCACAAACTCCTGGCTGGGAAAGCCACCCCCATCTCACCGTGGAATGCTTCCAGAAATAGAGCACATCCTCCACGTTTTCCAGTGAATGCAACAGGAAATGGTCTCGCCATTCCTGCCAGTCGATGGTCATTGTGCCGTCACGGTCCATGCTGGGGATGGGATAAAGGAGAATAGGAATGGGACAGGGTCAGTGCCTGGGCCTGGGGGCAGATTCTGCTAGGGTTTGTATCCTTGGGGAGAGAGTGAGCTTCTGTACATGGGGCTTGTTGCATGTCTGCAGGAGAGATCCAAACTGAACAGTGTGGGGACCTTATGGGGGTAATCACATTTCATTGTTGCCGCATGTTGATTCCTCACACTAACCCTATCAGGAAGGTGGTATTACTATCTTCATTCTACAAAGGGGAGAAATGAGGCTCAGGGAAGTGGGGCATCTGAGCTCCAGGTCTACTTGACTTCAAAGCCCCAACTTCTGAGCTCTATTCTCCTTGGGATTGGGGCCCAGAAGTTTTCAAGGTGGCTGATGGGTCACAGCGTCCTGAATTACCTGGGATTCCAGACCCCAGGTATTCCAGACTTACCTGTGCAGAATTTTCTCTGCCTGCTCCAGAGAGATGTAAATGCCCAAAGCTTGGAAACTCTGCTGGATCTCTGAGATGTCAATATGACCTGGTGAGAGAGCCCAAGATGGGGAAGGGTTTATATGTAGGGACCACAGGGGACTCCAGGACCAAAGATCAGGGCAGCTTGGGATAGAGATGGTCTACTAAGGCCAGGTGATTCAGAAACCCAAGGCAAAGTTTGTGGTAGGGTTATAGGGAACCCCTGAGCCACTTAAATCAGAAAGATAGAATTGGGCAATCTTGGGAGGGGATCCTCTGATTCATGAATGAATGAAACGAATCCAGGGGTAACTACAGGGGTCTTTATGTCGCAGGGGCTTGAGAGGCAATATGTGAAACCCAGAAGATGCTATGGGGAGCAGTCTTTGTCCCTATATAGAGATTCCGGAAAAACAGCGGAGGAATCCTGAGAAAAAAACTAAAGGCAATAATAGGGGTTCTGCCCCAGAAAGGAAAATGAGGTGGGCTGGGTTGGCTGGGCCTTGAACCACCTAGCTGGGGGTGAGGAACACTCTCAAAATAGCCTGTGAGTCATTGGGGAGAAGCAGCCCTCCCCCTTCCTCCCATCCTGCCAGTTCTAACCCCACTGATGTTTCCAGGCCCCTCCCCCATCTCCCTACCCCTAAAGACGCCAGACTTACCATCCTGGTTCCGGTCAAGGCTATGAAACATAAGCAGCAGGCGTTGTTCTCGCTCCTGCAGATATTGGGAGAACTCTTCCAAGTTGAGCCCGCCACCTGGGTCAGTGTCATCCTCATGAGAGATGCCCTGGCAATGGGGAAGGGGACAGAGGGAGCTCCAGGAGTCCTATGCCTTAGAAGCCAGCATCCCCTCAGCACTTTCAGGAAGCAGGAAGACGAAATCCTTCCCCCCAATCAGCTCACTGCAAGAGGCCCAAGGCTATGGTAAGTATGTGAGGGGGGTATGTATTGTCCAGTTTTCCTTATGAGCCATCTGAGACTTTTTGGGTGAAGTCAACTAACCAACTCAAGGTCACAGAACTGGGAAGTGGTAACCTTGAGTTCTGGTCTCTAAAGCCTGTCCTCCTAGCTGTCTCTTAAAAATACCTATGTTCACATGGTATCTCCGGAGCTCCCATATCCCTAAGCAATGTGGTGCAGGAGAGATTCAAACTGAACAGCGAGGGGACCTAATGGGGGCCTTGGGGATCCGATCTGGGAAGTGGGCAGTTGCTCTGGAGGAGGTGGAGATGGTTTAGGGGTATTTGAGGCTACAGGACGCTGAACACTTGCAAGGTGGGTGGGTAGGGGAGTTCTTTCTTTGACAGGTACATCCCCAGCTGAGGGTGGCCTAATATGGGTTTAGGTCCCTTGGCTGGGGCAGCCTGGGGCAATGAACCAGGCCCTGGAAAGGGCAAGGCAGAGACTATAAACACAGGGGCTCGGGCGGCTGGCTGCCAGTGTAGTGGGTGCACAGCGGAGGGTGGAGAGTATGTCTCTTTGAGGTGGGAACAGGGCACTTTTTGGGCTGTGCATTGTCCAGAGAGGAGGGCGTGTCCCAAGCAGTGGGCAGGAGGCACCCCGCTCTATTCCCAGGCAGACATCCCCTACCCCCATATTCAGTGTTGGCTGCCGAAATGCAGGCTTGGGGCCTCGGTGGCCCTGTCGAGCTATCCTGTTAGGCCAGACACGGGTGGGAAGGAAACATGGACACAGATCCTGGAGTCCAGCCACAGGTAGTCCCCGGCGGATCCAGCAGGCCCACTCAGGGGCTCGGGTAAGCAGGAACCGGGGCCCCAGCGTGGCTCTCTAGGAGAGGGTCCCGGTGGGTGTACCTGTTGGGCGCAGCGGTCTGGGTCGCCCCCGCCCAGCTTGGCCAGTCCCCGGCGCAACTCGTGCACGTCCACGCGGCCATCCTTATTACTGTCCAGCTCCTCGAAGAGCTGACCCCAGCGCTGTCGCCGCTCAGCGTCTCCTGGGCCCCCCCGCATGGCGAAGGCCCGGGGGGGAGGGGAGGCCCGGCAGCGATGGCCTCAGCGGGGGCTTTGCGGCTCCCCCTCCCCCCCGGAGCCCCACAGAGGCAGCTCCGCGGCCACCGGCTCCGCAGCCTCCGCGCTGCTGGCTGGGTTCTGGGGCTTGCTAGGGGTGGTGACTGCTAGCCGTCACCGCCCGCGCCAGAACTCACTTCTCCTCCCTCGCCGAGCACTGGGGGGAGGGGCCGAAGGCGGAGCTGGGGGCCCGGGAAGGGATGTCTGGGATTCTCTGGCATTGCACAGACGAGACAATATCAGAACTCTTTTTGGGAAGAGGGGCTAGGGAGCTCAATCGTCTCATTTCTGGTTTCAGAGTTTTGCCTCTGCGTGCCTCAGCTAGTCTTTGCCCCTTTTCCTAAGGGAGTGAAGTAGGAAGATGTTAAGGATTGTTTCGTAATCTCTTTCCATCTGACTTCCCTCCCCTACTAATCAGGATCTAAAGTTCTCGCTTTCCTCAGATGTGCGCCATCTAGCGCTCCATCTGTCCACCCGCCCGCCCATGTCACATTCCCCACACGGTCATAGAAACAGAAGATCAAGATGCAGTGTTCACCCCCAACCACCGTCAGCCCTTCATCCTGCCCGCACGCCTCCTTTCTCAGTCTCACTCAAACTGGGAAACGGAAGATCAACGCGCGGCGCGCCTGCAAAGTCAGCTTCCAATTGCCAGAGCTTTCAAAACTGCGCCCGCTGGCTCCACCTCTCCAGCCCCAAAGGAGCGGAGCCTCCCTGCTGACCACCGCGTGCTGTAGGCCCCTAACGTCCCACCAACCGCCAGGCATTCTTAAAGGGGCCGTGCCCGGAATCAGACGCCGGGCCGGCTATTCTTTCTAAACCGGCTTGGTGGGGGTCTCAGTGTTCCGGACGTAACTGGGGTTGAGGACCGGCCTGTGCCACTCACTGCACCTGCTGAATGCCCCTCCCACTAGTTTCGGGCGCTGTTTCTCGGCTTACCATTAGGGGGAAGGGCACGCAGACAACTTGACACGAATAGTAATAGCAATAACTAACTTTGATTCAGTGTGTTGCACATGCCAGGCCTTTTACTCACCTTTCGCGTTGTCCTAGCCAAAGCCCTGTACAGCTAAGGAAACAGAAGAATAACCCATCCTCGCCAGTCCTCCCAGACTGGTGTGTTCAAACAGATATGTGCCAGTAAATGAATCTGGTATAAAGGGTCTCCTAGCAGATGTTTCTATTCACAGATACTCCTTGCAGACGTCCCACAATATGAGGGATACAGATGTTTTCCCACGGAGATGCCCCAACATCCTGGATAGGTGGGCCTCTGTATACATGTGCCTTTGTCCTGCTGGTTCTTCCCACAGATGTACTTCCATTTGCATGTGCCTCAGGCAGATGTTCTCAGGTCTTTCCCTCACTTGAGCTCATTCTATACAGGTGTTTCTTATACAAGGCGGTTTCTTTTACCTCCTTCTCAACAGGTGTTCCTCCACCCATGAGTGTATTATACAGTTTCCCTCCCACTAGGTGTATTCCAGTTACCTACATACTCATCTGGCTGTTTCCATAGAACTAGGTACCATGCAGGTGTGTTTCATACAGATTTTACAATACAGTTTCACATGATGATTCCCCTATACAAGTGTCGTACATTTCACAGACAAGCCATGCGGATGCCTTGCCCAAACAGTTCTATTCCACATGACGGTGTCTCAGATTTTATTTTGCAGGTGTTTTCTATACAGATGTTTTCCACACAAGTGTGCTTCTATTCAGCTATACTTCATACAATGTGGTTCAATACAGTTACATCCCGTAAGTGTTCTTACACGTGGACATCTGTGCAGGTGTCTTCTATACGGGTTTGTCCCATATACAGGTGTTTACCACACAGGAGGTGGCAGCTCCCCATTCGAGTCTGCCCCAGGTAGGAGTGGCCACATGCCCCGTGTGTTTCCACACCTGTGAGCTCCTATAGATATTCCCGCAATACAGGTGTGAGGTCCTTCTAACATCTGGGCCCTTCTGCCTCTTTCCTTACACCTCTTCTCTATAGGATTGGCTTCCCATTACAGGTGCGCCCCGGGCACGGTCACGCCCCCATTTGGCGCCGCCCTCTCATCTAGGCTCAGGTGCACAAGCCGGAAATGCGCTCTCCTCCCAGGTGAGTGACTAAACTTTCCGGGTCACGTGAGCGGGCAGAGCTGGTGAGATCGGACCGAGCCACCGACGCACTGACAGAGTTCGAGCGAGGGATCGGAACCAGGAACCTGAGCGAAGTATAAGACGTCTGGGCCAGGTAAGGAGGCAGGAAGCACGGCTTGGTCTGCCACGTCCTGGCCCCCTTCACCCGGTTTCCTTCCTTTCCCCAGCCTAGGAATGCGCGCCTCGGAGTTAATCTTTAATCGCTGACCTCTGGTGGCGGGGGCGGGGCGGGACTCCGGGGTGCCCTGGGGCGGGTTGCCTTTCCTGTGGACCTGCGTCTAGGTCCAGCCCCCGAGCCCCTACACTCGGACCCTCTCTCTTTCTCCCGCCCCTAGGTGCCCATCTCAGGTGTCCTCGGCCCAAGATGCGGTAGGAGAGGCGCGCACGAGAAACCCCATCCCTGGAGCTACCAACCCGTCACCCAGACCATGGCGAACCCCACCGGCCTGGGATTGCTCCTGGCGCTGGGCCTGCCTTTGCTGCCGGCCCGCTGGGGTCGAGCCTGGGGACAAAGTAGGTACCGAGCGGGAGAGCTGGGGTGAGGGGTCCAGATTCCTGGGTCTCAGCTGGGGGCGGAGCTTAAAAGCCCTGGGTACCTGGGGGCGCAGAGTGGGCTTGAGAATTGCGGAGTGGGCAGGGAATATCTTGGGGAGAGGTCTACACGGTTAGGCTGGGGATTTAGGCTTTCTGGCTCCTTCCTTGGACGGTGGAAGTTTGTCTATAGGAGAACTCTTGAGTTCCTGAGGGGTAGTGAAATGGTGAGCTGGGTTGTTCTGATCCACAGAACAACTCAGGGGGTGGGAGAGAGGCTAGTACACCCAAGTATGGTTGAGGTGTTTTGGGTGGTCTGGGAGTCCAGAGGAGGGGCTGGCCAACCTATATCCAGGAGCCTGGGGGAGGTGTGAGTCAGACACTCCAGGCAAAGAAGCACCACCAGCCCAGGTCCTTCAGGGCTCCTGGGCCTTTCAGGTGAGGGGGAAGGGTTGGGCTTCCAGATACCACCAACTATAATAGTCCCTAATTCCTCAAACAACTGCAGGTTAATTACTCCTTGCTAGGCTCTGCTGTCCCCCACCCACCCCCCAGTCTCTGTGCTGATGAAAGACTCAGCAGGGCAGCGGTTTAAGTGGGCCCTGCTGGTGGATTTGGGGGAATGCCTGGGAAAGTGTGGCTGGACTGAGATGGAAAAGCCAGCTGGGGATTGATTTAGTCTCTCTTTCCAGCCTCAACAGCCCCACCTACTTCTGCCAATGGCAGTAGCACTGTTACAGATGCTGGCCCGGCCCTGGTAAGTTAGGGTATATGTGGGAGGAGCGCTGCAGGGATGTTACTTAGGGCCCCTACATGTAGCAAGTAGAGAGGGCTGGGGACACCCACCCTTCCAGAGGTAGCAGGTCAGGGTGGCATTGGAGGGCCTCAAAGTGGAAGAGAAAAGATCATAAGCAAGGTAAATGGGGAGATGAAAAGTCCCAGATGAGGGAGACTAGGAGTTCCCTGGGGCTGTAGACAGGAATGTTATACATGGCAGTTGTCAGGAGTCCAGTGTGCCTCTCAGGCAGCAGGTGAGCTAAGAGCCCAGACTTAGTAGATGTGGTGGGAGTTGGGGTTTCGGATGTGGCAGGTACTTGGCATAGGGAGATCCCAGACCAGGCAGGTGGGAGACACTCAGAGCCCTAGAAAAGGTAGATGAGTAGCTGGGAACCCCAGACCAGATCACCAAAAGTGTCAGGTGTATGTGCATGTGTGGGGGAGGATGCCACACAGGTGAGGGTAGACAGGATCCCTGGGCTCAGGTGAGTCACACTGTGTGTCCCCTCACAGTCTCAGGAAGCCATCACTGCTATCACTGTGGTCTTTTCCATCCTGGCTGCCCTGCTCCTGGCTGTGGGACTGGCACTGTTGTTGCGGAAAGTTTGTGAGAAGCGGCAAACTGAGGGCACCTACCGGCCCAGCAGCGAGGAGCAGGTGGGTGCCCGTGTGCCACCACCACCCAACCTCAAGTTGCCGCCAGAGGAACGGCTCATCTGAACAGTGGGGCCCACTGCAGCTGCCACTGCTGCCCAGGACTGCCGGGTGTTGGTTCGCACACAGCAGCTGCCAAGACAGCTCAGAAGGACTTGGGGGGGGAGGGGCAAGGGGCGCGGGGCACCTGCCTGGCAGGCTTGGTGCAGCATGCTGCCTCTGCTTGACTCTGCCTGCAGCTGGGGGTGCCAAGGCTGGGGACCTGCTCCCTGCTTGCTGAGCCATCTTTGCTATGCCTGGTGCGCAGGCCCGACAACCTCCTCTCCTTTCTTTCAGTTCTCCCACGCAGCTGAGGCCCAGGTCCCCCAGGACTCCAAGGAAAAGGTTCGGGGCTGCCTGCCCATCTAGGTCCCCTCCTCTCCATCCATTCCCCTACTTCTTTGCTGTGTGACCTTGGGGGAATGAAGGCAGAGCCTTCTCTGGGCAATCAGACCCATCCAGTGCTTAAGACTAGAAGGGAAGAAGGTGCTTTAATTCAAAGACTTTGCTCCTGAGGGCAAAGAGGAATGGGGGTGCTCACTTTTTATATATTTATATGAAATTGGTAGTGAGATATAATAAAAGCTTTTTTTGAGCTGGCGGGGACATTAGCCTAGTCAGTCGTCCTCAAACTATGGCCTGCGGGCCACATGCGGCCTGCCTAGGACATTTATCCGGCTCACTGGCTGTTTTTGCCACTGATGCCTGTCTTGCTTAGCAGCCGACTCGTCCCAGGGCCCGCAGTCTGGCCCTCCAATGGTCTGAGGGACAGTGAACTGGCCCCCTGTTTAAAAAGTTTGAGGACCCCTGGCCTAGATAGAGGAAACAAATGCACTCTAGAAAGTGAGAAGCTGCCCCTGGAAAGAGGGAGGTGGGTAGGGTGGGTTTCTGAGCGGAGAAAAGGCCTCAGACAAACTCACCAGCAAAAACTGCTTTGGGCTTTTGTGGCTTTATTGAGGGACGGGGGTCTTCTCTGGACCCCTGATCTTTAACCCTCAAAGCACTTCTTAAGATCTGCGACTCTGGGCCGGCTTCTGGCCTGGGGTTCTTGCCAGTTGCTCGTTGGTGGAGCAGGATGGTTGGGGGCTCCCTGCTCCTCGAGTTGTTGAAGGTGAGCAGGCTCTGCTAGCAGGAATCTGGAAGGCTGGGCTCTGGGGTTCTTGGGAGAACTGGGGTCCAAGGGCTGGGGCTTCCAGCCAATGTCAAAGTTGGGCTTTGTGGGGGCCAGAATTTGGGGGCTTTCTAGAGGGTTGGGCTGGGTGGGAGCTGTGGGGAGCCAGGAGCAGCAGCTCTCCTGGGCTCTAGAATCTTCAGCTGTCTTGTGAGGAGAGGAGAGATGAAGGGTTAGAGGTTCCATGAGATGGGCGGGCTCTGCAGAGGCTGCCGAAGATGGGGACGAGGAGATGACTTCTTGGTTGGCCTCTGAGGGCTGCTGGGGATTGGGGTTCTTTGAGGCGCCAGTGGCATGTTGTAGGGACAGCAAGTCCACAGGCAGGGTTGAGGGCTAGGTGGGATAGAGGGATAGCAAGTTGCTGGTCTTTAGATAGGGTAGGGCTGGCAATTTGGACGGGCAGTTCTGGGAAGACTGGGGTTGGAGTGTTCTCACCAGGCTGAGGCAGCTATCCAGGTCCCCTCTGTGACAGCAGTCTAGACTCTGGCTTGGTCTCAGGCTTCCTGTGTTCTTGGCTTCTATACTTAAACTGTCTAAAATCTCGCTCAACAAATCCAGTTCTTCTCCAGAACTCAAGAAGCTGCTGTCCAGAGCTTCCGCTGCCCACAGGCCCTGGTCACCTTCAGGACTGAGAGGGGGTGTCCTATGTGTGAGGACAGATGGCCTCAGACATTTGCTGACACCCCCCAGTTCTGATCAGGCTGCTCTAAAGAGTTTGGGGACCTTCCTCCCCATCTGTTCTGGGCTCCCACTTCTGCCCAGTGGTATCCTACTTTGAGCCTTACCCCTCCCCTGGGGGCTCAGAAGGTCCTTCCAGTTGGAATCTCCTGCTGGGGCGAAGGGGCCGGTTCTGTAAAGGACAGATTTTTGTGGGGGAGGGGTAGGACCTCAGCTGCAGAATCAGGGGGCTGGGGCTTTCTGAAGGAGAGGGAGTTTGAAGCAGGTGCAAATATTTGCGGAGGTGAAGGGGGTGTGAGATATCTGGTTGGAGTAATAATTCTAGGTGTACATGGGGGAGGGGTGCTCTCACGTGTCCAAAGTGCTGAATGATGGGTCGACGCTGCTGCAAGCGATCTGAGTGGCTGGTGAGGAGCCTCAGGGAGCCCCCCCTCTGGAGGCTAGAGTCCTCATCCTAGGAAGAGGATGTGTGAGCTAGGAGCCCCTCTGCCCCTCTGCCACTGATGGTATTGGCCATTCATTGACCTTACCTTGGACATCATCAGGTTCTGCACACCCTTCAAGCCATTCTTGGCCTACAAGGGAGCCAAGGGAAGAATCAGATCTGTGGTTGGACCCTGAGTGTTTGAGGACTCAGCCCTTTGTCCCCTAGGGCAGCACTTCCCAGAACAGCTATCTATCTGTGTCTCACAAATATGTTCACAATTCCCTATGTACCACTTGAGGGGTTAATACAATTTTGGCCCCTTTGATTAATACAAAAGGAGTATACCTGGAGGAAATAACCCCCACATGAAATGGGTACTAGCAAAACAACATAGCAAAAAGGTGTAGTGTTTCAAAAGTCCTGAAGAATATAATTAAATGAACAATTTTAAGTTGCAAAAGGTGGCCCCAGGAAACTTGTGGGCTTGGGAGGAAAACACCAAAACAAGGGCAGAGCTGGAATTGTATCTGAGGATAAAAAATGTTCATTAATAAATCTTGATTTTCAATTTTAAATAAGCAGGAAATGATTCTGACAAAAATGAGTATGCTAAATGGAAAATAAAAGTGGGAAGAATTGTTAACAGTTAAATGCTGGTCCAGTTCTGATAAACACTTTTGCACTTTAAATGTCCCATCCCCAATAAAAGATTGAAACATCCTCTATTCCCTCCCCTTGCCACCCCATCAGGAGTGGCCTGTCCACTTCAGCCTCACCGAACGGCATATGTTCCTGACGGCTGGTTGGGTCTTGGCCTTGACTGAATGCAGGAGGGCACCACCACCTTTCTAGGGGAGAAGCAGATGGCAAAGGAGAAGCTTGGGCACTTGGGGACAAGACCCTACCTCCCCATCTTGGGCTGTGTGGTGCTGAACAAGCTCCTTTCCCTTTTTCAAACACTCATCATTTCTGTAGGTTAGCGTGATCATGAGCTTATCTGTCAACTGTTGTGTGTTTGCTGGTGTTACCTTTATGTTGTCTGCCCAGAGCTGATAGGAGCGAATGGTGCCTGTGGTGAACCATGAGACAGTGGAGTGTCATTCAAGGCAAGCATAGGCTGGAGATGCTGGTGGGGCAGGGATTCCAGGGCTGGGCTCACCTGAAGATGCCCCACAGCAAGTGATCTCCTGCTCAAATTGATCTGAGAAGCCCTCCCCTGTGTTCAGCTTCTCCAGTCGGCCTTCGATGAACTAGAGTGAGAATAAGACTCATCTAAACACGAGGACTCAGCAGTCTGCCTGGTGTCTAGGTGGAAAAGCCACCCCCAGCATCTCCAGGAGCCACTCTGAGGACCTAGGGATCTGAAGCTTACCACCTTAGGAATCAGGGGCCAACCCTCTTCCCCATCTTTCCAGCCCCCCCTTTCCCCAGGGACTAAATCCTAACCTCCAGACTGACCCACCCCCTCTTAGCCTGAAGTAGGTCGATCCCATATTCAGGACCTTGAGTCCAGCCTACTTTCTCCCAGGAGCCTAGAAGTCCAGCTTGAGTTTATCACCCCTCCCCCCATGTCCTGAGGACACAAGAATCCTAACCTGTTTCCCTGTCCTCCCCAAAGGGTGCCTGTGTCAGGACCTGCCTCCTCTGGAATCCAGCAGTGTGAACTCCCACCCAGACCCATGAAGATCCCTGCTTAGGGAACCTGTGAATTTGGTCCCACTCTAATCCCTCTTAGGAACCCAGAAGTCAGGGGCTCCCGTCCTTAGGAACCCAGGAGTGCAGTCCTGCCTCCCCCACCTGGGGACCCTGGAGTGGGGAAATCCTGCCACTGGATTTTCCAGTGGCTGCTCTGGACTTTCCCTCAGGGACCCAGCAGTCCCCCTCCAGCCCTGGTTCCTCCCTCAGGGTTCTGGCACACCTGCTTGAACAGCTGCAGGTGCACAGCCCTTTGATGGAAGGCCTGCAGGCGTGCCCCAGGCTTCTGGGCCAAGAAGGCCTCTTCACTGAAGGTCACTGGTTGGCCCTGGAAAAAAGACCCATTCCCTGAGCTCCTGGCATCTATCCTGTCCCCAGCCATCCTCCTCATTCTACCATTTATCTATGCAGCTTGATCTATGCACCTGTTGTGTGTCCGGCCCATGTGCAGGACCTGGTGGGCTGTGAGGAGGACTTGGGCTTTTCCTCTGAGGGAGGTGAGAACTCTGGGGGGGCATAGGAAGGACGTGACTTAGGTGTTCACAAGTGACCTCTGGCTGCTGTAGGGAAAACAAACTGTGGTGCTTGGTGGCAGGATATTTGTAGATTTGGGGTGTGTTGCAAAGGCAGAGTCAACAAAGTTGCAAAGTGAGTGTGGTGGCTCACACATGTAATCCCAGCACTCTTGGGAGGCCAAGGCTGGTGTATTGCCTGAGCTCACAGGCTTGAGACCAGCCAGAGTGAGACCTCGGCTCTAAAAATAGCCGGGTGTTGTGGTGGATGCCTGTAGTCCCTCCCAACTTGGGAGGTTGAGGCAAGAGAATCACTTGAGCCCAAGAGTTTGAGGTTGCTGTGAGCTGCGATGCCATAGCACTCCACCAAAGGTAACAAAGTGAGACTTTGTCTCTTAAAACAAACAAAAAAAGAACATCAGCTACTAAGATGATCCTGCCCTCCCCCCCCCCCGCCCCGCCCCAAAGATTTAAAGAATGGTTGTGAAAAACAGAGAAGAGAGTTTTGGGGTGAGAAGGTCAAGGTCCTAGCTTCAACATTTACCCAGTGTGGAAACCAAACCTTGTTTTCCTCATATGTAAAACAGGACTATTATAGTATCTGTATCATCATAGCACTGTTGTGAGCATTCCACGAGATATCAGTAACAATAAAACCTAGCGTTATGAAGTGCTTACTACATGCCAGCAGATTTCTAAGTGCTGGCAATATGCCGATTCACTGTCCCAAACCCTTTTAGGTGGGCCTGTGGTGATCTTATTTTACAGATGAGCAAACAGAGGCACAAAGTAAGCACTTCATTAAAGTTATGTATCGTTATTAGTGATTTCTTCAAGGACATATGAAACCTCTCTCTCTCAGCGTCCCTGCTGCTCACCGGGACGTAGACGAGCGCGTCTCTGTACCCTCCGAAGAGCAGAGCCTGAGCTTTGAGGAAGAGACGGGATACCCCTTCCCCGGGGGCCAGGGCGACCTTCCTAAGCCGAAGTTTCAGCAGGGACACCTAGAGAACAAAGGGAGTGGCGCTGAGTGGCGGGTGTAGGGAGCAGGAGGGTGGGAGGAGGCGACACTGACCACATCTGGGGGCAGCGCCTGCACGTCGTCGAAAGGCGTCTCCAAGGTATTGGAGTCCACGTTCATCATAACGACGTCCTCCAGGGCTTTTTCTCGGACTCTCTGTGGAGTACGGTGAGACAGTCACTCAGTTGGAGGGTCCTGGCAGGGGAAGGGGACCCCTCCTATCTCCGCCGTCTCTGTGGGTAGCGCTCACCTCGGCGAGACTTGCGTGCACTCCAATGAGGTAAGGCATGGGCGCGCTGTGGACCAAAGGGGTGGGGTGATGCGGGCACCGCCCCCAGGCCTTGCCCCTGGGACCTGTTCTTCCCCAGACCCCTTCCTCACCAGCAGTAGTCCAGCAGGTGTGGGGGCAGCGTGGGGATCAGCACGTGCTCCCAGCGCATGGGGTGCAGGAGGGCGCAGGACGCGTGGACGCACGAGGTCAGCTGGAGACGCATGGGAGGAGGGTCATGGAGTCAGGGCCCGGACTTCCAGTTTCAAGGACCCACGCTGAGACGGTGTCTCTCCCAGCTAAATTTCTCACGTCCCTAAGGTTCTGTTTCCCCCTTCCCCACCCATTTCTGGGTAAACGGCGAAAACTGGGACCTCTTTAGGAAGCGTATGGAGACCAAGAATTCGGCTGAGTACAGCGTGATTTGAGAGGGTGGAGCCAGGACTCAGCCCGTCCTAATTCCTCCGTCTAAGGGGCAGGACTAATATGGATCCCACCCCATAGCGGGACAGCAAGTGGGGACCTCCACTTATCCCACCCTGAAGGAGGCGTAGCTACCATTTAGTTCGCCCAGGCCGCCTCCAGGGTGGAGCCCCAACTCACTAACCCCAACCCAATGAGGTGGAGCTAAAATGCTTCCCTTTGGCCCCGCCCTTAGGGGGGTGTACCTGTAACGCCTTCAAGTAACCTCACCCCAAAGAGGTGGAGTTAAAATGCAACCCTTTGGTTCTACCCCTGATGGTGTAGCCACCACTCACTAACTCCGCCTCAAAGAGATGAAGCTAAAATGTATTACTCTAACCTCATCCCTGGGGGTGAAACTAGCACTCAGCTTCCACCTGTCCTTTCCCCCAGGAGCGGAGCTAGAATTTAGGGCTCCCTGGTTTCGTTCTCCAGAGGGGCGGAGCCTGGACTGTTCTGGCGTGTAGGGGGCGGAGCCAGTTTTCATTACGCCCTGATCATTAAAGGGGCAGGACCAGGACTTTGCCCTCGGATCCCGCCCCTGGAGTGGGCCCAGGATCTGCCCCACGTCCCCTGAGGCCCCGCCTCACGGTGCTGAGCTTGCTGGAGGTGAGCAAGATTCTTCTCTCTGCCAGGAGCGCCGCGAACAGCCCCACGATGTTCTCGTCTGTCACAGCCACCACCAGCTCCGTTAGATTCCTCTGAGGAACAGAGAGGAGAGCTAGACGTGGATGGTCTCCAAAATTTGGCATCCTCCTCTGGGTCGCCGGACCTGTTCCTGTCCCCAGAGTTTCCCCTCCCCCGTTCCTACTCACATTCTCAGGGATGGATGGCAAGCGTTCGGAATCGGGGGCCACGAAGCAGGAAAGCTGGAGGGAGCGTTGGCGGGGGATCAATCAGTTATGGAGCTGGCACCTGGATACCCGACCTTCCAGCGTTGGGAGGCCTCCAAGCCCTGCTCACCAGCCTGCTATTCCCAGGATCAGGGGGTGGGACTCCGTGAGAGCTGGAGATCATCACTCCGCTGCCCTGAGGGAGAGACATAGCTGTGTGGTCCTCAGGGCTAAGGCGCAGCCTTCTCACCCACCTAGGGTCCAGAGTTGGGATGTTACTCACCAGCCCCAGATCCACTGACGCCTGGGACCAGGGTGGGCGCTGCTGCAGCAGATGTAGAAGAAGTTCCTCAGCCTCAGAGACCTGGGTGGAGGTTGGGGATTCTGAGGGCCACGACTCAGGCTGGGTGGCCTGGGAGGGGCAAAGGAGTTCTGAGAAGGACTGGGGGCTTGGTGGGGTGGGGGATTAGACTCCCACAGGAGTTTGGGGGAGCTGATCCCACCTGGTCTTGGGCTAGGAGGTCTCCCACTATATTCAGTAGCTTGTAGAACACCTCAAACCAAGGCAGGTGGCTGTGGAGAAGGGAGACAGGTTTCATGCAGTGGTCCTAGGCCTAGTCCCTTCCCACACCCCACCCTAAACCCCCATATGACACACCTGAGGATACAGAGACAGCTGTGGGCACCAGCACGCAGGCGGCAGAAACCAAATCTGCGGTTGCCTGCCAGGTTCGTGAGAGCAAAGGTGAAGTGCTGGACAGCAGGGCTGGGGAGCTCCCTGGAAGGGGAGAAAGGCTCTCAGAGAGATCTGGGCATCTCAACTCCCTGACCAACCCTCACTCTTCCCAACAGTTCTCCTGGGACCCTGGGTGTATAAGTTCTTAGTTGTCAGGATCCCTGCATGCCTGAGTCCCTGGGTATGGGTCTCTATAGTTTTTTGGGTGCTTTGCGATTCCAAGTCCCTGTATTTTTTTTTTCCTTGAGACAGAGTCTCACTCTGTTGCCCTCAGTACAGTGCCGTGGTGTCACAGCTCACAGCAACCTCAAACTCTTGGGCTCAAGTGATTCTCTTGCCTCGGCCTCCCGAGTAGCTGGAAATATGAGTGCCCGCCACAATGGCCAGCTCTTTTTTGGTTGCAGTTGTCATTGTTGTTTAGCAGGCTTGGGCTGGGCTTGAACCTGCCAGCCTCAGTGTATGTGGCTGGCACCCTACTCACTGAGCTATGGGCACTGAGCTTAAGTCCCTTGTTACTATGTCCCTGGGTATCTGGATCCCTGAGTCCTTAGGTGTCAGAGCCCTGAATTCTTTGAGCCCTGGGGTCCCTTAGTCCCTCAATCTCAGGTTCCCTGCATCCCTAAGGTGCCAGAGCCTTGAATTCCTGGAGTTCCTGGATCCCTTAGTCCCTGGATCTCTAGGTCCCTGAGTCCCTGGGTCCCTAAATTTCTTGGTCTCTGCATCCTATGTATATAGGTTTCTAGTTGTCAGGTTTACTGAATGTCTGAGTCCCTGAACCTCAGAGTGCCTGGAGTATGGGTCTCCAGATATCTGAGTCTTTGGGTCCTGAATCCTTGGGGTCTCTAAGAGGTCCCTGGGGTCCCTGTATCCTTTCCTCCATACCTTTCCACATCAAAAGGGAAGCAGAATTTGGGTACCATCTGCATAGTTTCCTGGAGATAGAGAGAAGCACAGACTTCTTGGCCACTCAGGTTTAGCCCCTACCCCTGGGCTCCAGGTCCAAGTCACAGAGTACCCTCCCCCTGGGGGACTGGCCCTGTCCCCGGGGGAGCAAGGAACCATCCTGAATACCTGGTCCCTGAAGTCTGGAGGGAATTGCCGCAGGATGGGGGGATCTGTAGGGGAGTACAGGCCTCTGAGTTCTGGGCCAAAGTCCCACCCTCCATAACCCCACTATCCACATGCACCCAACTCACCCTCTTGCAGGGAGGCAGGGCAGGCCACTTCGAAGAACCAATCAAACATGGTCGGGGGACCCCCTCTGTGGAATGTGAAAGGGCTTCGTGGGTCCAGAGACTTGCCTCCATGCAGGTGTGTGGCTGTGTCTGCCTCTCTGCACATAATTGTGTGCTGGCATGTGCATGACCCTGGGAGCTTTTAGTGGTGAGTGCATGTATGAGGCTTGCATGAGCCTGTGTGTGCAGTGGTATTGATTGTGCATGCACCAAGTTTGGGACAGAGCAAGAGTGTGTAGTGTGTGACTGTGTGTGGCTGAGTGCAGACTTCTATGGGCATACAGGTAGGGGTGTGTGTATGTGTGTGTGTGTGTGTAATTGTGACTAGTGCCTTCCTGAAAAGATGTCT